GCTTGGAGGCCTCAGCGCCCTGGGCCTCGGCCGCCGCGAAGCGCACGCGCCTCGGCTGACCGCCGCCGTGCGCCCAGCCGCCGTCGTCCGCCTCCTCGAGGTCCACCACCTCCTCCTTGTTTCCGCCAGCCTTGCCCTGGGCCTTGGCGCGAGGCTTGGCCTTGGCGGCAGCGCCACGCGGCTTGGGTGGAGGCGAGCCGTCCACGGCAGGGCCAGCCGCTCGCTCGACCGCCCTCTGACACGTGAGGAGAGGCGCCCTCTTGCCGCAAGCCCTGCACAAACGCAGGCTCGCCCAGTTCGCGCTCTCTCCGCAAGGGCAGCCCCAGCGCGGGGTCTTGGGCCCCGGCAGCACGACATCGGGAGAGCGCCACGGATGTACCCCACCACCTCCGTCGGCCACACGCTGGCGGGCTGGCGGGCGGCGGGTACCGATGGCAGAATGTTTCCGAACTCCCTTGGCCCCTGCAGACGGGCCGCTCTGAAGTACGCCTGCAGAAACTCCTCGGTCGCAGCCTTAGGAGCCAGAAGGCTCTCCTCCTCCTCCTCCTCCTCCTCCTCCTCCTCCTCCTCCTCCTCCTCCTCCTCCTCCTCCTCCTCCTCCTCCTCCTCCTCCTCCTCCTCCTCCCTCCTCCTCCTCCTCCTCCTCCTCCTACTCCTCCTCCTCCTCCTCCTCCTCCCCTCCTCCTCCTCCTCCTCCTCCTCCTCATCCACCTCTCCTCCTCCTCCGCCTCCTCCCCTCCTCCTCCTCCTCCTCCTCCTCCTCCTCCTCCTCCTCCTCCTCTTCCTCCTCCTCCTCCTCCTCCTCCTCCTCCTCCTCCTCCTCCTCCTCCTCCTCCTCCTCCTCCTCCTCCTCCTTCTCCTCCTCCTCCTCCTCCTCCTCCCCCACAACATTAGCATGTATTTGGTGGTACATTGGGACTGGCACGCGCTCCCACCTCTCGAACGGCAGAGGCGCTCGCGCGCGATCCCGCTCCTCGAAGACTTGGCGGAGGGAGCCCGCTGTGCGGGCCGCGCTGGGGTGGCAGCGGCAAAACTTCTGGAGGGCGCGGCGAAGGCGAAGCATACGCCGGGCTGACAAACCCTTGCCAGTTTCACCCGTCGCAGTCCACCCGCAGAATAAGGGTGGGCAACCTGTCCAAGGGTACCCGGGCAACCTTCCCAAGGGTACCTTTGCATCGTTGCCTCCTCGATCCATCCTTCGCCGCGTTCGTTGGCCGCGCCCCGCTCGAAAAGTTTCGACATGGCCTTCCAAGGCACTTGCATCCTTATCGCCCATCCTTCTATACGGGCTGGCTGTAGCTGCGCAGCGCTTCGGCGAGGTCGGCGTTGCGCCCGCTCTCGCTCGGCCCCGCTCGGCCGCTGCCGCTCTCGCGCGACGCTGCGAGCGAGCCACGCGCCGCGCGCCCGCCCAGGAGAGCGCCGCTTCCGGGCGAAGGGCGCGCGGGGCTCGGGCGAGGGCGACGAAGCGCCCACTCGCGAGGGCCCCCCAAAGGAATGGGCGAGTGGAAGGTATGCCCCGCTGCCGCCTGCAGGCGCTCCAGCGAGCGAAGCGTGCGCCGCCACCCCGCGCGGGAGCGCGCCGCTTCCGAGCGAAGGGCGGCGCGGAGCTTGGGCGTGGGCCCCAGCAAAAGTCGGCGAATGGAAGAGGTGCGCCGCGCCGAGGTGGGAGCGCGCGTCTCTCAGGAGAAGCGTTCGCGACGCCGAGGCGAGAGTGGCACGTTCGCCCGCTCGCGCGTCGACGAGACTGTGCGCGCCGCGCCCCGGCGAGAGCTCAACTCTCTGGACAATTTGCGCGCCGCGCCGAGGCAAGAGCGACAGCTCGGCCAAAAGCGCTGGATGTGCGCCGCGCTCCACTCTTGCCACGGATCTTGCG